AAAAACGATTCGAGCGCTAACGGATCCCCATTATAATTTTCCCTAATTATCGAAGCACAAAGGCTTATAAAAGACTTCTTTTGCTCTGCTGTGGCCATTTCTGTAAAAACCTTTGAATAAACTGAAAAATTAGGTGAACTAGTAGCACTTGCTGGAATCTCTAAAACACTTAGCGAATCTTTGATGCTTGGAAGCGAAGCGCTTCTTTTAATAGAAAAACTTACTGAAGCTTGTGATTTTGCGTCGGAGTACTCTTCTTCGGTATCAAAGTCAACTAAACCTGGTTTGCAAATGAACTCTAGAGGCTCTAGTGGAATTTTAATCTGACAATTCAATTTAATAAAACACTTCCTTAAAAGGTCCTTGCAACGTGTTAACTTTATCTGTACTTCACCAAACTCACAAGTTTCGCTATGACCCTTGACGTGCAATAAAATGGTATTGTATGAACTTATAAGTGAATCTCTGTACTCGTTAAGTTTTCTAACATTTGTTGAAAGCGGACGATTTTGTAAAATTCGCTTTGTAATTTTTAAAAATTCTGTATAATTTTCTTTAAATTCTTCGTCAAATTTGGTCATAACACGTTAAGTTTAGTAAAATACAAGAAAAATTACTTCAGCTAGCTGCTGTTCACCAAAATCCAAAATTTATTCAAAAAAGTTTACCAAATGTACTTATTGTGTTCTGTCCAAAAGTCCACAATCCGCTGAAAATTTCATGCAACGAAGTGGGATTTCACACGCAAAAGGAGTAAGGATGTTGTTTTCTTCACTTTCCGTGCAATTCAAAAGAGACTATTGTTTTGTTATTTTTGATTTGCTTTAATATAAAGCTTTTTTTTGCAAAAGTATCAAAATGTAGTTAAAAAAAAGTATGAAATGTAGTTATAAACCAATAACTATAAATTATTAAATATCAAAAAGTCACATACATATGTATTAAATCAGAATGGGTCAATTACTCAGTGTCAAAAGTGAGTCACGTACTGAGTCACTCACTTGTATGTATGTATGCATAAAATGACATGCAAAATTTCGAAAAAGTATTTAAATTGTAGTAAAACTCCGAAAAGATTTTAAATTGATAACCGCATGAAAATTCAAAATGTATTCAAAATATACATACATACAAGGGTATAAAACTTGAAATTATCCCTAAAAGCATCGCATTACTTATGCTTGTACATATGTTTGCTTAAAACTATGTATGTATATATTTATGTAGTAGTATTCAAGTTTCCACAAACAGAGAAAAAGTATGT